ATACATTAAGGAAATCACCAAACTGCATCACGAGGTAAGCCCTAACTTGGAATCCTGAAGGGAAGCGGAAAAGAGGAAGGCCAAAGAACAAATCACGTCGGGAAATGGAAGCAGATATGAAAAGGATGAATAACAACTGGGAAGAGCTGGTAAGGATTGCGCAGGACAGTGTTGGATGGGGAGTTCTGGTGGGCGGCATATGCTAATCCACGAGGAGTAACAGGCGTAAGTAAGTAATTTATAGGAAATAATGATCTAGTACATTGAAAATGAATGAACAAGAAATCAATATGAATATCAACGTGTAAAGATTTTCTTGACTTACTTTAACAATATTTACAATTTCTTCAGCGTAAATCTTTTTCAATTTATTAATATTTTCATTGTTCCCTGTGATTTTCTCACAATCCGGAATAAATGAACGTAAAGAGATGGGAATTCTGTGCAAAATTAAGCAAAATAATAGCATCAACAAACAAACAAATTAATAAATATTAATATGGGGTTGTGAAGATGGTTGAGCTTTTATTGAAATCATTAACTAATAAGTGTTAACCCACCATTGAAAATCTCGAAGCACTGAAGGGCTACTTCGTCCTAGTATGGGACTTCCTAAAAGAGTGTGTCCACAATCTTGCACGCGGGACTCGAACTCAGGGTCCTTGGTATCGCGCGCGAACGCCTAACCTCTATATCACTAAGCCGTAATCTAACGGTGGTAATGTTTAAGTTCAAATAATCCACGATATTGTACGACCATCTCCCTATGTTTTCGGTGAGTAAATGCCTCACACTCGAGATCGTGGGTGAGCACTGCTGAGGAGTCCCACACATGAATGAAACAATCGTCCAGTGCTACCAGGTCATCAATGTTGGTCTAACACTGATTGGTTCATAATTTCAACAAAAAATTAATATCAGTTTAAGGGTCTTGGAGCTAGTCACTAGTGAGCACATGGTAATTCTCAGAGTTCTGTTGAGAAGCTGTGAGCAGTGGAGCTAATCCGTGTCAGGTAGAAACAGGTGTCTACCTCAGTACATTGAAAGATGGTCTCGCAGTTTCGTGGATTGGTTGAAGTTAGACATTAACACCGTTGGATGTCGGCTATGTGGTCTATAGGTTAAGCGTTCGCGCGCTCGACTGAAGGCCCTGGGTTCGAATCCCGCGAATGGGATCGTGGATGCGCACTGCTGGGGAGTCTCACAATAGGACGAAACGGCCATCCAGTGCTTCCAGGTTTTCAATGGTGGTCTAACATCAATCGGTTCACGATCTCAATCAAAAAATTAATAAATAAATAAGGAAAAAATTAGTACGAAACATTTTGTTTAGTTTTTAAATATATATTGGTCGTTTCCCTCATGATCAATCTATTAGTCAGTAGGTCAATCAGCCAGCCAACACTAATTCGATCACTTTATGGTCCATCTTGATAGTCCGATCTTGTCGTTTAAATTTAGTTTAGGAACTTGGACTGATGAATTAATGTGTCAGGTTTTACGTTGCTTATATAATTACACAAAACTAACTAGTTGTTCTGATGTAAATTTTGTCGACATTATACACTAATAAGTACTATAGGGAATATATTTTTACTTAACTCGTAAATAAATCATATTGTGAATGATATACACAGAGATAATTGGTACTAATACAGCAAAATGGTTTATTCCGATCATTTGAAAAGTCGAAAGGCACACTCATACATATAATATGGAAATTCAATGATTGTAACGTTTTCGAAATCTAGTTTATTACTGCATAAATGATACAAACCATCCGGCTCAGAGAACAAAACTCCATCAAAAACGATACAAACCAATAATGATTTACACACACACTCATATGAATAACTATTTTTATTGAATAGTGAATTTAGAGAAAGATAGAGCGAGAGAGAAAGAAAGAGAGAGTGAACTTTGATGATAACTTCATGAGTCCTGAAGAAAAAAACCCAATAAACCTTTAGTGGTCACTACATTTTGACGATTAATTCACATATGATCTATCCTGTGTGTCAATAGCAAGGAACGTATAAAATGACTGAACACTAGATTCGGTTCCTAAGCTCTTCTAGCAACCCCCAAGTTAGATCTACACTGAAGCTTGAACACGAGAGAAAAGGTGCGAAAGGTTCTTTTACGTACAGAACATCTAGGATTTTTATAGTATTCTAGATGTTCTTGGGTTTCCGGAAAATTCTGGAATGATACCAAACATATTAGCAGTATAAGTAACCATCCAATCAGAAACTCGACATGTGATTTTTTACACTATAGATGTCTCTGGCAAAACTTCAAGTGAATGCTGATTAGATAAGATGCTTCTCAGTGTTTTCAGAACCTTTGTTGGCATTTTTCGAGTTTTCTGGAACTGCCCAACATAAAAGTCACAAGTCCATGTTTTGTCTTGTTTTTAAACAGTCGTTCAATCTCGATATTAGTAGCATTATTAGTATGAAGAGTATATATATTTTTATTATGATAATATCCTCTTACTTGTTTTGATTAGCTTCTATAAAAGTCAATATTGACTTTCTTCTGCATGGTACTAGTCTATTGAAATACATATATATAAAAACAATATACTATCCACTATTGAATTTTGAACAATATTGACGATTTAATAAAGGAATTCATTTAATCTTGATGTTGGAAACAAATCAGAAATTTCAAAAATAATTATCTCACCTAAGTAACAGATTCAGTAGTTCAATGTTGTATTCATGTCTAATTGTTTGTTTGTGTGTATTAAGTTTCAAAATTGAAACAAATCAATCAAAACACTAAAGTATCATTATTTATTTATAACATCATTGAGTCTCAGCAGCTTATCCTAAACAGTTTATATTAGAGTCGTAATCAAAGCCTAAATCCGCCTGGAGCCCCTCTGTGGCTACTGCAGGTCCTAAGCTCGGATAAAGGAGGGGGTTAGGCATGGAGTTAGCTACCACATCCCGTAGAAAACTAACCTGCGAACAAACACTAACGAGAAGAAAACAATTCAAACCACTTAAACTCTGCCCTGGGAGTTGGAAGGTCTTCATTTAGATGAGTTATGACTCCTCATGGGGAAAGCCGAGTTCCTTCAGAAGTCACGAGGGAAGACGCGGACCGGCAAAGCAAGAGCAACATATCTAAGATTGAAGAAAATCTGGAACTCAAAACAACTGTCAACCAAAATTAAAGTCAGAATTTTCAATACAAATGTCGAAACAGTTCTACTGTATAGAACGGAAACTTGGAGAATCACTAAAGCCATCATCCCGATCGAAGCTGCTACCTTGACGCGGTGGTCGGGCTTGCCTATCGTGATGACCCAACCGAGCTATATTGGCTGGAACATATGTTCCTGCAGGTTCTACCATGCCAGGCAGGTCGATTGGCGAACGGTAAGACTAAAAGCAGCAACTCAAGGTCTGAGGGCGAAGTCGTACTGCTGACTGTAGAGAGGTGTGACAGCAGTAAGGTGTTTCCCTCGGACAACCAGCATGACAGCGATGCTGCCTTCCCACAAGGAGGGGTGGGGTTAGAAAAGGTCGACCCTAAAAATGCACACCTCACCTTACCTCACGGATTTCCGTCTCCGGCGGTAAGGCCCCTTGAAGAACGGAGCTAACACGTCAAAAACCTTCCACAAAAAGGCCGTGCGCGACCGGCCTCAAGCAGTTGTCCCTTGGGCTCTGCGGTCACGCTCCCAGGTCGTCAAGACCAACACTAATCCAATTTCCTTTTCAGGTTCCTCAAGAAATACCCTTCCACGGTGTGGGCAGCCGGGAAGTGACATCAGCCCTCATACCCGTAACAGCACAAGAGACCAAGGTGGTCACATTCAAATCCTTCCTACACCTCCTAATACCTCTCTTATCCTCCCGACTAACCCTCCTCACGTCTCTTTATCACCTCGCACCGCTAGGGCAAACGATTCGAGTACGTGGAACGCCATTCCTGGTCTCCTGAAACCACGCTCTAAACTACACGTAGGAGCTTTTAACGTACGAACACTTTGCCAAATAGGACAGCAGGCTTCCTTAGCTAAAACTTTAGAATCTCGCGCCATCGATGTGTGCTGCGTCTCCGAAACGCGCATACAGGATCCAAGTAGCGTCATTCATTTGACCTCACCATGCCAAAATAAAGAACCGACTCGATTTACGCTTCGTGTATCTGGAAGCCCTGATTCTGCTTCCCGTGGCCTCGCCGGCGTAGGTATAGCATTGAGTCCTAGGGCAGAACTAGCTCTCTTAGAGTGGATCCCAGTAAACAGTCGTTTGTGCGCTGTCCGACTGAACGGAACAGTAAGAATCCGGAAAGATAGGGACACTCGTCGTTGCCTCTTCGTCGTCTCTGCCTATTCTCCCACTGACTGCAGCTCAGATGATGTAAAAGATGAGTTTTACAGAAAGCTTTCGGACCTTCTCCGAAAAGCTAAGCGCTCGGATGTAGTAATAGTGGCCGGTGACTTTAATGCTCAAGTAGGTAAACTAAGCGATAAGGAAAGACACCTAGGTGGATCTATGGTGTCGTGGCTCAAAGAACAGATAATGGCGACCGTCTGTTGCAGCTATGCTCAGATAACCGCCTGTTCCTTGCAAATACTAACTTTAAGCATAAGGAAAAACATCTTTTAACATGGCGACCCCCTAATTCGTCCCAACGTTGGACCCAAATAGATCACATCGCTATCAGCCACCGATGGAGGGGCTCGATAGAAGACTGTCGCTCATTCTGGAGCACATGCCTAGATTCAGATCATGCTCTAGTGCGAGCGCGTATTTGCTTGCGTCTTACTGGACGTAGGAAAGATCCTGCAAGGAAACCTCTTAGGGCCTACTTAATGATAGTCAAGCTAAGAATATATTTCAGGAACAACTAGGAAAACAGTTAGGCAGCCATGTATGTGATGCCCACCCCGAGGCAGCATGGAACGATATCCGAAAAGCTGTGGAAACAGCAGTGATATCTGCTAGTAAGGTAAACCGTAAAGTTAGGGAGCAACACTGGATCTCAGCAGCATCTATCGCACTGATAGATGCTCGAAAACTCATTCCACCTGGCTCTGAACATAATGAAGAGCGGAGTCAGCTTAAGCGCAAGCTGACAAGAAGTCTACGCAATGATCGCGAACAGTGGTGGGTAGCGAAAGCAAGAGAGATGGAAAAGGCAGCGGCAATAGGTAATAGCAGACAATTGTTTAGACTCGTTAAGGAAACCGGAATTAGGAACCCGACCGTTAGCGAAACAATCTCAGAGAAAGATGGACATATTATTCATTCTCAATCCAGGAGATTGGATCGATGGGCAGAACACTTTAGGGATCAGTTCAACTGGCCTTCAGCCACACTTCGGTTTCCCACGATCTCCAGTCAACCTGAATGGCAAGTTAATGTAAGTCCTCCGTCCCTTTACGAAGTTGAAAAAGCCATAGGAAATCTGAAACGAGGGAGAGCAGCAGGCCCTGACAGGTTTACTCCTGAGATTTTTAAGGATGGTGGTCCAGTATTAGCAATGAGATTAACTGAGGTCTTAGGTAGAATTTGGGAACTGGACGTAATCCCATCTGACTGGTCTCAATCACTGATTGTGCCAGTTTTTAAGAAAGGACAAAAGTCCTCTTGTGACAATCACAGAGGAATCAGTTTGACTAATATAGTGTCTAAAATATTAGCCTCAATAATACTTCGACGCCTAACTAAAGCTCGTGAAGAGCAGACTAGAGAAAACCAGGCTGGTTTTCGACCTGGACGTGGTTGTATCGATCAGATATTCACACTACGTCAGGTTCTAGAACACAGACACACATTCAGACGCCCCACAATGGTAGTATTTCTCGACCTTAAGGCGGCATTCGACTCCGTTGATCGTGAGGTTCTATGGCAGTGTTTGTCACTGAAAGGAGTACCAAAGAAGTACATTAACCTTATAAAGGCTCTCTACTCGAACACAACTGGTAGAGTGAGAGCTTATGGCGAACTGTCATCAGAATTGATCACCTCAAGTGGTGTTCGTCAGGGCTGTCCACTCTCCCCATTCTTGTTCAACTTTGTCATTGACGTACTTTTAGAGATAACACTCTCCTCATCTAAATTTCCAGGGGTTGAACTTCTACCAGGAGGTTCACTTGTTGACTTAGAATATGCAGATGACATAGTTTTATTTGGTGAAGACGCTGACAAAATGCAGAGTCTTCTGACCACTCTAAGCAACAATGCAAGCATGTTCGGGATGCGATTCTCTCCCTCGAAATGCAAAATGTTGCTTCAGGATTGGGTTACATCGACACCCGAACTAGTGATAGGGAGTGAAGTAGTTGAGTGTGTCGACCGCTTCACTTATCTTGGAAGTCTCATCAGCCCTTGTGGTTTGGTGTGTGACGAAATCTCAGCACGGATACAGAAGGCTCGACTAGCTTTTGCCAACTTGCGTCATTTATGGCGTAGGCGAGATATCCGTCTATCAACCAAAGGACGTGTTTACTGCGCAGCAGTTCGTTCCGTCCTACTTTATGGCAGTGAAACATGGCCGGTAAGAGTAGAGGATATCCGTAGGTTACTAGTATTTGATCATAGGTGTCTTCGAAACATTGCTCGTATATCATGGGACCATCGAGTAAGTAACACAGTTGTTAGGAAACGGGTACTAGGTAAGGATGGCAAATCAATTGATGAAGTAGTGAAACTTCATCAGTTGAGATGGCTGGGACACGTGTTACGTATGCCCAACCACCGACTGCCTCGACGTGCTATGTTCAGTGGTATAGGAGTAGGTTGGAAGAAAGCTAGGGGCGGCCAAACCAAAACATGGCACAAATCCATGAAGTCACTGACAAGTGGACTGAGTCATGTTGGTAGGTGTAGACTACCTGGTTGGGGACCGCGAGATGACAGCAACCGATGGTTAGAGACCCTGAATGACATGGCTCAAAATCGTTTGCAATGGCGCAGGTGCATCCACTCTCTGTGTTCTCCCAAACTCTAATCTTCTGAATTCTTCATGTCCCTTTTTTCCTCTTTCCAAATTTCTTTCACTGTATTATACTCTTTAAATAACATCTCCAAACCCTAATCTTCCCGATTACTACTTATACTCTTATTACCTCTATCACTACGGGATTTGAATCGACAAGTGCATCTCTGTGCTAATGTGGTGTGGCAACTCGAACTGATGTACGTACGTACGAAGTTCTACGTTGTTACTGACTGACTGACTGACTCATCCAGAATATACAAGTGTTTATTAACAGTTGTCTACACAAAATACTTCGGATCCGTTGGCCAAACACTATCAACAACAATCAATTGTGGGAGAGGATAAACCGGATCTCAGTGGAGGAAGAAATGAGGAAGAAGCGGTGGAAGTGGATAGGACACATTGTGGAAAGCACCCAACTGCATCACAAGGAAAGCCGTTACTTGGAATCCTCAAGGCCAAAGGAGAAGGGGAATACCAAAGAACATATTAAGCCGGGAAATGGAGGTAGACATGAAAAGAACGAACAAGAATTGTATAGAACTGGAAAGGAAGGCTAAGGACAGAGTGGGTTGGAGAATGGTGGTCGGCGGCCTATACTCCATTGCGAGAAACAGGCCTAATTAAGTAAGTAATCAAAGCCTGGTAAATTTGTTAGAAATTAATTTGGCTTAATAAGACTGGTTATCGTTATCATTAAATATACAGATGAATGTAGGTATGCATTAAATGTAAAGTTTACTAAAGTACACTACTTTATGAATTGAAATTGCAAAGTAAACTATTTTGAAAGGGAATGTTTTTTTAAAGATGTTACGTCTTCTACTTGATTATGGTAGAATACGATATACAACTAACGGCGCTCGAACGTATAGAAACCCACAGTAGCGAAACAGAAGACGGAAAAAGCAGGGGAAATGATTATTATTTAGGAGTCAGAAATGTGGGTATTTATAGTCACTGGCATTAGTTATAACATCGGCTAATCTGTGAGGAGGCGAGTTATGCTATTGTCCAGTCGTAGCATGCTACATAAATATTCCAGAACGCCATGTCAGGCTCTGATTGGATGGGATCTTCTCGGTTTCTTTAGAGGCTCTAGAGGCTTCGTCATGCTTTCGAAGTCATCCCAACATAAGGCTATGAAATTAGTGTTAATACTTCCGACTTCCTCCCCCCTCACCATCTGCCATTCACCAGTAACCTATCAACAAGCAAAACTGTCGTTTTAGCCGGCCAACAAAATGCCTATTATCGGACCCATCAGAGTACCTAATTTGGTTTGGCAATATCAGTTCATGTCAACGGGGAACTAATATGATTTGCCGAGAGATATTCATTGGTGTAAGATTTTCAACACAAACAGAACTCCTTAGACAACTGAAAACTTATGAGAATGTAACTTCCTACCATTTACATAATACAAGACATTCATGGAAATCCAAATGATTTCTGTATAAAATACGTATATACAAATGAATTCGTCATCCAAAGTAGTAGAAATTTGTGAATGTTTATTTCTCCACAACCCCACTCCATGTGTAACTTTGTCAGACTAAATTACAGATTTTTATTCATTTCAATTCTATTAGCATGTTTAATAAACCTTTAGATTGAAACAATGAACAACCATTCAGAAATAAGTCAGATTCATTAAAAGCCAAAATAGAACGTAGTCTGTCGAATATATATTATTTATTTTCAGCGGTGAAAATCATCTCAGATACTTAAGTTAATGTAAATTCATTTTGTATTGTTTATTTGAATCTTCCCATTTATAGTTGCGATTGCAATTAATCAGTCTCTTATTGGCATATGTGCATACTGTACGGAATGCCTTGATATTGGATTAAGTCTCAAGCATTATAAGTAAAGATGGATGGTGGCTATCAGTGGAATCATCCTATTTGGGATTCGTCAGCTGATTCGAGTTCTGGAGTGAAAATCAACTCTGGGATCCAGGTATATCCAACTGACGAGTCTGAATCAGGAAGAAACGCGAGTCCTCGATCCCATTGCTAGCCATCATTCATCTTTGATTCTAATACTTAAGATAATGATTGAAATTTCAGGTTTATAATTAAAAATTTCGAAAGGCATTAGAGTTAGGGATAACGTTTGAAGACACTGCTAGACTCCAACTGCAAAACATTATCCAAATCATAATCTAAACTGTAAATTTGATTCTGTTTGTTAAACTCTGTATCCTAATGTTATGCATTATATTATGCATTATTATATCATAATTTATACTTCTTCTTTATTAACTCAATATAGGAGTCATACATTTCTACCGGCCATTTAAAGAACCACTCAAGTTCACCCTTTATTCTTTCAGTACATCTACAGTTATATATAGTTATTTAGTTTTTTCAATAGTACCAACGAATTTCACAGCTGATGATGACCAAACTACAAATCAATTACTTGTATAAATCACAAATACATGTATCTAGATTACACTTAACTTAGATAGTTCGATGTATGTATTAGAGTTGGAAAGAACAAAAGAGAAAGACATCATTGACATCATCATCATCGTCATCAATAAATCAAAAATAGTGAACCATCAAAACACCAGAAAATCTATCAAAAAAATATAAACCCTTACTTTCTTTCAGTTGAAGCATTTCTAAAAATTATAGCACTCAGTGTCGTTGTAGTAGTTGTTGTTACTGAATATGACGATTCCTTTTCGTCTATCTGTATAAATTGAATAAGAGAAACAAAACATCTTTGTTTCTACATATCTTTGACGTCAATAAAGATAAACGTTATAGCATTGGAAAGAAATTGAACAATTATATTAAGATAACTATGTGATTTCAAAGCTTTTTTTCAAGTCAGTCAGTAGGAAGTTCCCATACATCGAATGTGTTTTGTGGTAGAACTAAGAAACATTAGTTAGAATTCAATGATTCTAGAAAGTTTGTAATAAATCTGTTGATTGAACGCTTGAATCAGTTTCCTAAGCTCTTCTAATAACCCCAAACGAAACTGAACAAGAGAAAAAAGGCGAGAAATATATGAAAAAAGAGCTTTGCTTCAGTAGCCGTTTATGTCCTGGAATCCTTCTAAAAATGGTAGTAAGAGAGTTAATTATCAAATCAGAAATGTGACACATAACTCTTAACTTCCTGAATGTTTTTAAGAAATTTCAATTAAATGGTAATTGAATAAAATATTTCCCATAGTTTTCAGAGCCCGTTTGAACCTTTTTTCAAGGAATTTTCTGCGTTTCCCCAATAGTTTGCTAGTTTCCCAATGTTTATTATTAACTGAAAAATAACTTTGTCAATTCTGATTATCTAATTCTTATATTAAATATTCTTTTCTATTATTTAATCGGTGAGACTATAATTTATGGATAACCATTGAGCAACGCTAAAGTGACCTTGAAAGTATCCACCTAATAACTAAGATCAAGTGAGGTTATGATTTACAGTTAATGGTTAAGGTTAGGAATTAAATTTAGGGTTTTTTCATCACGAACTAACATCAGCTATAATGCCAAAACTCTATTTAACCAAATGAATGAGTGGATTTCGTGCCAAAATCCGAAACGTGTTATCTCGTACCTGATTGGTTCGTTCATAAATTATAGTCTCGCCATTTAATCTACTTTTATAATGTAACAAAATTGTACTCAGGTTATTTACAATAAACAAATGAATAAATCGTACAATACAGTTGCTATATCTGAACGAAGAATTAACGAACAGTAACTGCTAGGATCTATTTATAGACTGTTATTATATATATTCTTATTGTATGACTATTAAGTAACTATATATATATATATATATATATATATATATATATATATATATATATATATATATATATATATATATATATATATATATATATATATATATATCATTATAAGTTTTCATTTGACCTACTGACTACTATTATACGACTTACTATTCTCAAGTTATACCTAGTTTACTAATAACAGTCTCTCACAATCACAGCCATATTTTTTGGCTTGATCTCGTACAATCGTTATTTTTTATTTATGGTATAATGTGGCCTGGTTGGCTTGCGTGTAAATCAAGTATATCTGAAATACATGATACATACAGCAAAGTCTGATATTGGCGTTTTGGACTGAACGAATCGAGCTATGCGAGAAACTACTGTATCAAGGACCAATGAGGATTCAGAGTTGACTCAAGACTACTAGCGCTGTGTTGATGCATAATTGGTTTAGTACAGAGACAAGGTTACAGAAGTCCGTATTCTAATTGGTGACTTTTATCACGTGATATGTAACAGGCCATAAAATGTACACCACTCTTTATAATTAACAATGCATTTTAAACATTTTTATTGTTGTTAAGATCTGTAATTGAATTAATTTACTATAACTTAGTGACTCAATTACAATCCCATCGACTATCCTATTTATCAGGCTGTGATACTATTCGGATATACAAAATTGCAAATAAATAAATAGTATTGGATAGCGATTCAGTAGTCTAAGAGTTAAGCACCAGAAGGTCTGTAGTTTAATCCCATGTAGAGTTGTGCATGCGCATATTAAAAATGAATGTTTACTTAAGTAAAGAAAATAATGATTTAATTTAAAACTTACTTGTCTAGATGATATGTTCAATTCAATTGTAGAGATTGCTCGACGAATTAATTTTTGAATAAGATCCATCTCTCGTCTATCCCATAAACCACCAATTAATTGTGTTTCATCATAACGTTGTTCACTGCATGTTCGCTTTAATATTTTATGCGACATTATTGGATTATTTTCAAGACGTGCTCGACGTGATCGATAATCAGTTGGTTGTCTTACTGGTGAATGACTACGACTTGGTAAAATATCAGATATTAATAGATTCTCTAACCAAGATTCAGCTAAATATAACTCTTTTAAATAATCTGCTATCCGATAAAACTTGAAACAAACAAATAAAAAAAAGAAGGAATAGGTTTATAAAAACAAACAAATAATGTTTAATTAGAACACTTAATATGAATACGAAGATGATAAATAGGAGTGAATAGATTGTTTGTGTGACAAAATAAATAAGTGAGAAGTTTATTATTTTAATAGCTGAATTCATGAGTCGATCTCAGCTGGATCACCATTGAAAACCTGTAAACACTGAACGGACGTTTCATTCTAGTATGAGACGAGGAACTAGAAGTAAT